GATCTTGGGCACGCATGCACACTTGCCTGGTGTGAGTTTAAGCCACCAGGTCCAAGACTCAAACCGCGGTCGATTACATGGGAGTCCAGCAACATAACCATTACGCCAACTGCTGGCCCCAAAAGCTCAAATTTTTCATTAGAAATAAATCTTGGTGGTGATTTACCTTGAAGTGACAGTTCATTTCAATCATTTATAAGAAAGTCTGCAAATATCCAAGTCCAAAGCCCATAGTTTGTCAGCTGTTCTTTGAAGCAAAAATCTGTTTTGTGAAAAAAGTAGCTAGTTTAGCTCACAACTCAAACAATGACAAGCTGCAGTGCACCTAGGCAGACGGGTTTGTGTGCTTCCAATTTTGTTGTGCAGAATAATAAAAAGACGAAAGTCTAGGATTGAAATGTAATAAAACAAGTAACTGTGATTGCTTCATCAGAGATTTATTTTTAAGGGACACTGATATTTGTGGCCCTGCAAAATACAGTAATTACAAGGACAGTTTGGTGTCACTGCCTAGATCAGGCTAAGGTGCTAGACGTTTTACCCATCTTGGCTTTAATATCATTATTGCAAATGTCCACATGGCATGAAGACTCAAATTAATGTCTTAGAACAAATATGAAAATAGCTTTGACTTTGCAGATCTGTGGAACCACAGGAGGGTCTGTTGGACCTTACTGCTTGAGACATGGGCTTGGGGGACAGTGGCAAAGGTAAAATGCCAGGAGGCTCTGTGAAGCAGATCACATAAGAAGACTCTAAATTTGTGTCCAGAGGCCTCAGTGAGAACCCAGTACACACGCGTGCCCATGACTATGGATTGACTGAGGCTGCATTAGGACCCTACTAGAGGGGCTGTTTCTCTGTCTCTCTTGCTCATGGGAGAAATAAAGAAGATAAACTTAAAAAAAAAAAAGAGACAGGAACCAGTAGGTGGTGTGGTAGTTCAGGCACTGGACTCTCCCATAGTTTGAGTCCCAGACCTGGCAGCTTGAAAATCACATTGGGCACATCTGCATGCATGCTCAAAATCCTGAAAAGAGAATGGAGGAGAAGAGATTGTGGTGTGGCCATCCCCTGGGGGTGATTTCTCTATCTCGTTCCAGCAAGTGCTCACGTATTCTATAGCAAAATAAATATATAAAGTTTTTTTAAAAAGAAAGAGACATAGGCTTTTACTAGGAGTTCTCCCAAATGGACTTATATTACACTCTTTATAGTCATTTTGGACTTTTTTCCTGAATCAACTGAATATTTATGAATTTCATAGTTTAAAAGTAACTTCAGATATAAATAAGTAAACATCTGCCAAATTCTTGGGTATGTTATACTCGCCAATCCTTACTAAACATCTGTAAGTCAGCTATAATGTATTCCATTTTTTATATTTGAAAGAAAACAAACAAACAAAAAAAACATGGATGTTCAGAGAGGTTTTGTCCTACAGAAAATAATCGTCAGAGTCTAGAATTAAATACGAATCCGTCTGGTTAAATAATCCATGTTCGATCTCCATGGCACACTGCCCAAGTCTCTCAAAACCCACTGAAGATACTTGCATATATAAATCTAAATATATAAAATGTCACGGGCTTTACCAATGGCATTTTTTTTTAGAAGAACAAGAATATTTTATGTGCCAATCCTGATGTTCAAAACACAGATATTTTAATGACTTTTCATTACAATGAAATAATAGCAAGTTGCTTTCAGGACTTTAGGGATTTTCTTCCTAACAGTGATGTTAAAGCAACACCCCATCACCGGTTCTTACGTCTCAGTTCTATATTTAGCCTTGCCCTCTCCGCCTGCATTTTCTTCAGCACTGTGTCACCCAGACCAGGTGCTTTATGCAAGAAGAACAATGAAAACTGCAACGACTACACAATGCTCTTCTCATAACTGTCTCATCTTCCCTTCTGGTCTCTGTCCCCATAATCCCACCTCCCTGCTATTATTTGGATCTGTCGTTCCACACAGCATCAACAGCAATTGTGTAGGTCCACATCACTAAGATGTTCTGTAAGAGTAACAGATGTTTTTCAGCTTGGCTGTCTTGACCCTGGTCACCATGCCAGCCCTCCCTTGGCTTCATCAGCCTGTCTTCTCCTTGGTCTCCTCCCTCCTGTCTGGTCTGCCTCTCTTCCTTTTGCAGACACCTCTCCCTCTATGGGTGTCGAAGACACGGTGTCCTGCCCTGTTCTAGCCTAAGTCTTCTGCTGCTGCCTGCCTTCCTCCTTTCCCTGGCTTCTTGAAACCCCTTAAAGCTGATGACCTGGATGGGCCCTCCAGCCTGTGTCGTCTCTCCTAAGAACTTTCCTACACAGCACTGCACTCACATGTCAAGGACACCCCAAACTCAACAAGTTCATAGCAGGAGTCGGTGCATTCCTCCTCGAACTGCTCCTGGCTGTGGGTTGTTTCTCTTGGCTTCATGGCACTATTGCCTGCCTCGTTGACCCAGCAGAAAATGGAGAGTCTGTCTAGACTCCTCCTCTTCTCGATTACCCTCCATATCCAGTTAATCACTAAGCCTTGTCTATTCTATTTCCTAAATATCTCTAGACCCGTCCCAGTCTCCCAAATGGCACTTTCACTGCCTCTGTTCAGACCCATTTTTTTCCCTCTGGAAATAACTTCCTCACGGCTCTTTCTTCCCTATTTGTCTTCCACAGTGAGATGGGAGGAAACTTTCTAAAAATCATATCTGATGACACACAAAGGGCCTAAAATCCGCCCTTGCTTGGGCCAGCTCCACCGCCCAGCAGTTAAGTCAGCTGTAACCCACATGACCAACTGAACAGTTCAAATCCCAGCAGCTTTGGTGGTTTGAAAAAGACCATGGGCATGTGTGAGTGATGCACGCATGCCCCATATCCTAAGACAGAAAAGGGAGGAGAAGGGATTGCCGTGTGGCCATGCCCCATGGTGGCGGGGTGCTTTCTGCCTTTCTTTCTCTCTGGCAAGTGCACACATCCTCTGACAAAATAAACACACCTTTAAAAATAGTCTGTCCTTACTTAAATGCTTTCTTAACCGCTCAACACCTTCCGGAAAGTTCTGGCTGTTTGTCCCCACAGAGGCTGGTGTGGCCTGGCCTTGTTCAACTCGTCTACAATTCAGCCACACCTAATTTCTCTCAGTTCCCAGGACCCTGGGTGGACTTTGACACTGTCCTAACCTCTCGACATGCCTCTGTCTCGAATGCCCTCTGTTTGCGGAACACCCCACCCAAGTTCAGATGGCAGTCTCTTCCTTGTCCTTCAGAGCCCTGCACTAACATCTCTGCTAACAGCCTCCTCCTGGGCAGTTTGCTCCCTTTTCCAAGCTCCCAGAGAATCAAGTACAAGTTTATCTGGTGGTTTATCCTGGTCTCCCAGCTGGGGTGTGAATTCCTTAAAGGCTCCTTTAAATCTCAGCCCCAGAAACTCCAGTTACCCTGCAGGAACTATGTAAGTACACTATTTATCAGTGAGTGTCCATCTCCCAAACTGGGGTCACTTCTCCAGATCTTCCCAGCTGAGATCCTGGGTTCTCTTTTTTCTCACCTCATCCTCTCATCTGCAAAAAATTAAGTTTGCACTGTGATCTTAGTTGCACCTTGTAGCGTTTTAAAATCCTCAAGCTTTTACAAAATACTTTCTGACACATAAATTGAACGATGGCCTGATTTTTCTCGTCGGAGTCACGACACTCAGGAGCTGCAAGTTGGTTCTCGCTCCGCGTCCAGGTATTTCACGAAGACTGTAGCTCTCAGTATGACCTTGGCAAGGCTGTAGCCATCTTCTGGGTCTTCATTTATTTCCCTGTGGCAATGAGAAGAGGGGAAGTCACCATTTCGATGTCGACACTGCATCTTAACAAGCACGGTACATTCGTTCTTAAAACTTAGAACTCTCAAACCCGGAGTCTGAAACCCAAGCCAGGTTTGCTGAAACTAGGTTCGCAGTTGGAAAATGAGATCACTAAACCATTGGGTACTTACCCCTCCCCCCTACTTCCTTGCGCCCAGGCCAGGTTGCTAATTAGGTAACTTCTTATCATAATTACCTAGTCGGCCTTAATGGCTCCGCACTCTGCTCAGTCTCCCCGGTCCTGTAAGGCCGCATTTCAATTGTTAAAACAGCTGTGGAGTTTCCAACCCGAGGCGGCTCTCGGGCTGCGCCGTGGGGGAAGCTCTCCCCGAGTGAAGGCTGTGGCAGGCAGGCGTTTGGGGGGGAAAGTGGGACACGAACGCGCAGTTTGCACACTCTGCTCTCCGCCTCCAGCCTCCTGATTTTGCACGTCTCCCTACCCCCGCCCGCCAAAGCCACCCCAGAGTTGCCCTCTATTGTGCGCCCGCCTGTCCCTGACAGTGCGATGGTCCCGCGTGCGTCCCCGTGGGTTCCACAGCTTTGCCCGGGTCTGGGTCTCCCTCCGCCCGAGTGGCGAGGAGACAAGGACAGTAGTGTCCCCCGCGCTGTCGCCCGCAGGAGTCCTGTTTGGGGAGCGCTGGGTGGCCAGGCTGGGGGAGAGAGACCGAGGGAGTGTGTGAGTGTGCGTGTGTGCGAGTGTGTGAGTGCGCGCTGGCGCAGCGGGAGGGAGCGAGGGGGGAGGCAGCGGGCAGAGGAGGGAGGGGACGGGCGGGCAGCGGTGGGCCGGGAGGGGCTGGGGCGGGAGGGGGAGGCTCTGGCTTCA